CCCTCTCTCTCTCTTTCTTTCTCTCCCTCTGCCCCCGTACTCATCCGTTTCTCTGGCGTCTTGTCGTCTTGTTTTGGTCGCGGTGACGGCTGTGCCGCGGTCTGCAGAGGTGACCGTAGACGGTTCCAAGGTAGTCGTGCACCACACCGATGACAAGGAGCCGCACCCCCTGGCCCTCCACCATGTTCCCATCTGCGTCACCTTCGCCATTTTCGAGGTGACTTTACGCTATTGCTACAGCGATTTTGGTCCAATAATGGGTAAGTGCCGAGGGATTTCGGCCGGCCTTGACGGGCGGCACCCGGCAATGTTCAGAGTGGGAGATAGCTTGAATGTTGAGGGGCTTCAGCAATCTTATGCTGGACGACCGGCCTTGGTTCTTGCGATCGTATGCATGCAGGGACCGTGTACTGTCCAAATGCACCAAAAGTTTCCGTATGAAGTAGCATGAACCTTGTCAATCACGAGGTGTGCAACAGTACATGGACATTAACCTTGCAGGAGGCAAGGTATCCCATCATTTGCGCCGCCGCCTCCACAGATTTCGAGGGACAGCAGTCACATCTATTCAAGTTATAGCTCTTGTTTTGGCCGTGGGGTTCTTGGTTGCTTTTGTGGGCTACAGCGGCCGCTATATAGATTCTAGTCTAGGGTTTTTGAACGGAGTTCACAAGTGATGCTCAACTTACTTACGTTTGACATATTGTAAGTTCTGGCGCTGTCTGTGCTACGTTACCAAATCTGCGAGAGATTGGGATTAGGGATGTACGGCCGAAGGAGGTTCTTGGACCTAGGGTCATGCTTCGAATGGTCGCTATATAGGTTTTAGTGAAGGCGTTCTTAACCAGGCTCATAAATGGTGCTCAAGTTCTTACATTTTGATTATCTTGGGGCTCAATTTTTTAACTCCTGGGTTCATAAGTGCGGGCGCATTCAGTATATGTGGCGGGTGAAATTTCCCGGCGTAGTCGAAGTAGTCATGTTGTTCTGTGAATAAAAGGCGGTCAATACCAGCTGCCCCACCACAGCTAAGGCGGGTGAAATTGACTGGCGTAAACGAGATAAGAAAGTTTTTCTGTATATTGATCAAGGCGGCTGTCCCATGTAAGGCGGTCATTACCAGCTGCCCCATCACCGCCTTTTTTTGGGGCACCCACTGCTGTTCATGCATATTTTACTTTCAAAAATAATTAAATTAGGACACGGGCGATCCTTCGATTGGCCGCCCGGCGGTCGGCGGCGGCGGGGCGAGCAAGAGCACGGGAGGCATGAACGGTGCGGGGATGAGCTCTTCGGCCACGCAGCACATCGCGGCGGACCCTACAGAGGCCGAGGAGGAGGTGATGAAGGGTAGGATAACCTTCGCGATGACCGCGCACAAGGAGGTAAGTTTTCAATTTGGTGTGATCGTTCTTGTGATATGATGGTGGCGGGCTTGTTGTATTTTTTGGGGCGACTGGTGTATGGCGGCCGGGGTCGAGATAGATGGCTGGATTGGTGTGGGTTGTTGTTGTTGTTGTTGTTGTTGTTGTTGTTGTTGTTGTTGTTGTTGTTGTTGTTGTTGTTGTTGTTGTTGTTGTTGTTGTTGTTATTGTTGTTATTGTTGTTGCAATTGCCGGCCTTGTCTTGACGGTTGTCTTTCTACTGGTGGTGGTACAGAATTGGTGCTGCGTTGCTGTGGCCAGGCTTTTGTTTTTTTGCTCAGTTACTCTTGTCGCACAACCATGTACCATACCATATGCCTGTGAGCGCAGCGTGAACCAGGCAACCATGATACAGTAAACGATGATGGACCTTTATGTCGGTACACTGCTGTGTCTCTGCTCGCTTTTGGCTTTCAAGTGCGGACGTACACACTTGCACAAGAGCCTATCTATGATAAGAGTAGCTTACGAAACCCGAGCAGTCTTAGTATCGTGTCGTGGTGTTGGCTCTTTTAGTGCTTTTTTTGCTGGTGCACGTTTCGCATTAATAACTGTTCGCAGGATTTTCTTTCGACGTGCGGCGGCCTTCGATTTTTGCAGAATCTACACACGCTTTTGTATGACATTTCTATTTCTCGCAGCTACAGTACGAACGAAAGCGCGGCCTTGGACCGAAAAAAAAAAACGCATCTCCCTATGCATTAGAACCCATTTTCGCGCAGCTAATAACGCAATCGATTGTGTCGCGTGCCGACGTCCGCTTGACCATTCTTGCAGATCTGCGCCTTGCACAAGAACGGCGGGGTGGCGGTGTCCCGGGAAACGATTCTGCGGTGCGCCCGGCAGGCGTCGGTGAAGGTGCACGACATCCACAAGCTCCTGGACTCGGCTCTAGCTGGCGCCGAAGCTAAGGCGACACTTGACCGACAGGCGAGACTTTTTTTTTTTTTCTTGTCGTCCGTATTTGGCGTTAAATGTATGCTGTTGGTGCTGGTGCTAGTGGTGGTGTTGTTGTTGTTGTTGTTGTTGTTGTTGTTGTTGTTGTTGTCGTTGTCGTCGTTGTCGTCGTTGTTGTTGTTGTTGTTGTTGTTGTTGTTGGTGTTGGTGTTTGGCGTCGTTCGTTTGTGGTCGTGTGGTGGTCGTGATAGCGGTGCGAATGTCCAGTTGTTTCTTTACTTGGCACGTTTGCGGGATCGAGTACTGTTGCTGTTGATGGTTGCGGCATTGCTCTTGTTGCTGCTGTTGCTGCTGTTGCTGCTGTTGCTGCTGTTGCTGCTGTTGAGTTGCTTTTAACGTCGTTACGGCTTTAGGCTTGTTTCCTGTTAGTGTGTTTCCTGAGGCGAAGGGCAGGGACAAGACGTGGCTCCGCTTTTTTTTGGTCCACACTGCTCTGGGTGAGAGAAAGTAGCCTGCATCGAAAGCACCGATGGGCGATGGGTTGCCAAAGGCGGAGATGGGGGAAGATGTAGTCAATCGTCCCCACCTCTGTCGTAGCGATGCAGCGTTGATTCGCAGAGGTACACAGGTTTGCTTGGCGTGGTCGTTCTTTTTGGGCCTCCTCGTCACTCGCCGTGCCCTTGCTGCATCTGCAGGGAGGATTAGTATTTCTACGCGCTTTGTCGCGGCTGGGTGTAGCTGTGTCCCGGCGCCTTCTCCCTTCCACACGGGCACAACATATCGAAACGCCGGTTTGCTTCACCTAGAGTACCGTGAGGACGCGAGAGATGGCACCCTTCCCCCCTGGACCGACATCGTAGGATGCTCCAAGCGCACAAGTAATGCAGCCGTGAGGGCAGAATTGGGGATCCAATCCCTACGGTCGGGAAGAGACGCGAGGAAGCTGACCTGGCAGTATCGCATGTGCGGGATGGGAGAGGAGAGGTTGCCGAGGATTGTATGGGAGGCGAAGTGGGCAAACAAAAAGAGGGGTAGACAACCCACGGAATTGTTCAAGGTTGTAGAGGACGTATGGACGGGGCTCGGTATGGACGAAGATGAAACGCTGGAAACGGAGGGTCTACAGGGGTTCAAGG